TCAGCACAGACAGCTGCAAGCAGGCAGACACCATCCTGTGTCCTAGGCTGGGGTCTTAATAACTGCAGAGTTTCCCCCATGAAGCTGCTGCTTAGGGAGTGATCTCTCCTCACACAACTGGGTAATGTAAGTATAATTACAAACAAACATTAAAAAAAAGACAAAAAGACAATATTTATTACTAGCTTCTACACCGTAAGAAGTGGAAGACAGAGGGCTGTGCTCTGTGATTGATCTGATGCTCAACGATCTCTCTCCTGTCTGGCACAGCTCCAGGACCTGCCAGTGCACTTCCTCCCTCTTCTTTCTTTAATTCTTCCTGACAGACCACCTGAATTAGCAGCCCTCCAGCAGTAACTGTTCTTCAGCAGAAATACAGACTAACAGCATGTCCAGAGCTTGTTGCACTCCTTCCCAGGAAACTTCCAGCTGTGCCTTCAGGCATCAGGTAAGCGAAAGCCAAAAGGAGAACACTGTGAAATAACAGCAAGAAAGAAATGTAAGAAAAGTGATGGCTTGCCTCTGAGAACCTTGTGCTCACTACCCTGGCTTGCCATTATTCAGATGTGGGTTATTTCCATTGGCAAAGCACATTGGCAAGGCATTAAGCTGAGCATCTCAAACACTTTAGGATTAGTCTCACACACATTCTTTCAGTGGTCCCTGAAAGTAACAAATGCCAATAGTGCACCAACAGCACAGGATCTATGTTTGACATAGTCCAGGCCCGCTATTCTCCATGAGATTATCTTCAGAGACTGCAAAAAGCTGAGAAATTTCCTTGCCAGCTGATGTTAAACTAACAAGACTGCCTACCCATGTATTTGCAGTGAGCACTGCTGGTGAATCCTTGCTCCGTGAGCATCTTCCTGCTGCTTTACCTGAGATCACTCCAAGGACCAAGGTACAGAGAAGCACTGCAGCATGGCAGGGATTTCATGGGAGCGAGGATGACCTCTGCATGCATATATGCTCGGGTTTAATGTGTATCCCAGGCTGCAGATCCATAGCTTAGTCAGAATTTGTTTTGTAAAATAAAATGCAGATTTTGGTCAACAGACAGATTGGATCGCAGCTGAGCTGGAAGCAATTTTATCAAGCATGTCTGAGAGACCCTTGAAAACATGATTATGTCCTGACTCAAAATATGCAGCTTTCTTTAACAGACAGTCCAGCAGAACTGAGTCAGTGCTGGGAAGTGATCTCTGACTTTAAATGTCTGCCTCAGATATGTCATTAGAATTGGCATCTATACTTTGCAATTTTTTGGCTCTCATCAAAATATCCACATGCAGCTGAGGTATTATTGTTATTACTGAAAGATCTTCTCAAGTAAAGATTACTTATAGATGAGATGAATATTGAACAAATGTAATCCATGGATTAATTAGCTAAAGCCCTATGTTAATCAGAAAGCAAGCAAGAAAGAAACACTATCTCATTAAGCATTTAGGAGCATGTTGTATGTGCTTCCAGGATTCAGTTACCCTCTCTCCATAACACAACTGCTTTTTATTTAACACTTGGAGGTGTGCGAGAAGACTAATGTCCTTATATGTTAAAGCTGGAGATGTCAAATTGTGTAGCGTTAGTCATCACCGTGAGGAGAAACAAACTAAATGCTGTAGGACCAAAAAGTTAGCTCCAGAACTCCATAAATTGCTCACATTCTGCATAAAAGCCTGACATTTACATAAGTAATAGCTGGATTCATGATTGTGCATTACTTATTCATACCTTGTGTGGAGTAACTCTGAGGTAACAGACTAATCCATTAATCCCTCCCAGTCTGTAATCCTAAGAAATCATAAACCATGCAAGACACTTTATCCTCTTAGGAAAATCAAACTCATAAGCTGAGGACGATAGCATATTTGGTGCTTGAGACCAGCAGTGTTTCCCTGCTGTACAGACATGTAAGCTGACATCAGCTCTACACGGAGTTGTTTTGGGATCTGCCTCCAGTTTGATGCATGCTTACCAATGTGGAAAGTCCTCTTCTCACAGCACACGGGATGTCTCTCTCAGCCTGCCATGCTGGTGTTTGTTGCAGTGTTTTTGTGTACATTTCCTTTAATGAAGCACCTTCTACCATCACAGAAAGATGTGTGGCAAAAGGACGTGAAATGAAGCACATTTTTTCTACTTCAAATACAGCATTTTGTAGAATATCACAGCTCAGTTGTTTTTCTCTTCATGAATAATCCAGCTTTGCATGTAAACAGTAAAATTTTCTTCTCTTCTTTTTTTTTTTTTTTTTTTTACCAATGCTCATTGGCTTCCAGCCTATCTGAAATGCACTACAGGTACCATACCATATAGGCAAAAACAGCACAGAGGTAAAGGAATATCTCCACCAGCCTAATTCTGGAGCATAATTACAGATCTTCAAGCACATACAAATATAATGAAAATGGGGAAAACAAGGCAGGTGTATCTGTTGGTTAGCCTAACCATACTAGACTTTTCTTGGGTGTCACACTGCGTGTCACCACATCACTGCATTAAACCCTGCTCCTTGGAGGTTCCCCAGGTTCACCGTCTCAGCCTGTCTTTTGAATCCCATCACCTGGCACTGCCTGCTCCCCCTCAGCCTCTCCCTGCAAGGATGTGTGTCAGCAAAGACAAAGACCATGAGTTGTTTTTGTCTTTCTTACGTGGCTGCGAAACTGTCATAGGTGGACTGCTGCTTCTGGAGAATGAAGGCAGCATCAGTTGGGGTGCAATTTTTTTGTTTAGGATCATTTGAGGTTCTCAGACAAAGGGAGAAGTAGTTCTTGTGCAAAAAAAAAAAAAAAAAAAAAAAAGATTCTCATCAATAAAAAGGGAAAATGCTGCTCCCCAGCCTGAAAGAGTGCTGTTTGGTCAACTTCACTACGTTTGGCAGTGTCGGTGCAATGGAGGGAAAGCAGCATCTGTACAAAGCTTGTTGCAAATATGCTGAGCAGCTAAACAGCCATGCCCATGCATTATCTTACATGAAATACAGATAACATTCATGCTCTTTTCTGTACGCTGGGACTCCCCATTAACATCCTCTCCTACAGGATCTCACTCCTGTGCAGCAAGAGGTATGACAAGAGTGCTACAGATTTCCTCCAAGTGCCCAGAACACCTATGGCTGCCATGAAAACATCATAACTTTGCCACCACCTCTGCAAACGGGAGTGCAGATTGTAACATCAGAGGGCAGGCGTTTCAACTCAGCACAGAATTACTTTGGCCACGTCTTCGGTTGCATTGGGACCCCATGAGCAGTTGCACTGGGGGCTGAGCACTGCTTCTCAGGAATGGAGTACACAGACCTCCAACACACAGGAATCCACAACAAAATGAATCTTCATTCCCTATCGCCTTCCAAAATCACATGACCAGGATCTGTGGGGATGCCAAGTCACACAAGCTGTCCTAGAGCTCGTGGCTTTCTTCCAAGATGATGGATGAATGACTGCTCACACGGTGGGGTAGAAAACCAGATAATGCAGCTTGCTTCTTTTGAATACCTCCAGCAATGAGATGCTTACCTGAGTGTGCCCTGAGCATGCAAACAGAGGTAGATATTCCATGCTGGAGGAGGAGGGTGCCACATGGCAGAAGCAGTGCCAACAATGAGAGCAGTGCTGGTTATCCAGAAACCTGTTATACAGCTAACAAGGGAAATGATGTTCCCTTTGGGCAAAGGACACTTCAGACTGAGCTTTGAGGCACCTGAAGTGGCCTGCAGAAAACTTGCTCCAGTAGCCTCCAGCTATCAGAAGGTTGGTCTGTCTTAACCAGAGCATTATTAACTCAATGGCCTAGTAATCACATCTTCAATAATTCCACTGCAATAACAAGTAGTATTATAGGTGAAACTTGTCCATGGGGAAGATTTTCAAAGACTTCAAGTCCAGTCAGACCCACACAAGGTGTGGGGATGCATGCTGGAAATGCCCTGTGTAATGAACCTGTAGGGTCAGACCAGTTAATAATATATGGGCACATACCATACATTATGTATTTAGCTCAGGCCAGCTATGCTGAAGTCAGAGGTAAATCAAACTATCCATGAGATCAGATCAGGCTTAAAATACTTAATGGTGTTTGTGGACCAAAATTCAGCAACAAAAGGTTTCCTCCCAGAAACTCTGTGCTGGGGAGACATTGGCTCAAGTGAAAGCTAAAGCTGCTGCTGAATTCCCCTCCTGAGGCTGTTGCTGGGGCAGACACTGAGTTTTAAAGCAGAGGTAACTCAGACAAACCTATCACCGATGGAGCCCATCGAAAGACTCAAGCTGCAGGTTGCAACACAATACTTTGTGGCACAAAAAGACCTTCCGAATGAGGGTCTCGCATTAATTAATTAAGCGTCGGAGCACCTAGAAGGAAAAGCTATCCCATTTTACCAGCAAGAACAATGAGTCTGCAAAGGTCACACGGAGCAGAAGGAGGGAAGGAAAGAGAGAGCCCATGTACTGGCTGCCAGCTCTTCTCTGCCTGTTCACTCCTGAGACCCCTACAGAGGCCACAGGATGGCAGGACATAGAGAGGCACTGCACTGAAGTGTGCAACGAGGTGCAGAAGAAAAACAAACAGGGCTACACAGATTGAGGCAGGGCAGTAAAGAATATGGCATGAAGATAGCTGATACCTTCAAAGCCCGCAGCCCCGGGCTTATGCCAGAACTAGACGTGACTTGTGTCTGTGTTTCATACGATACTGCCGAGCATCCACCCCAGGGCTTTCCTTCATGTTTAAATCATGGAATGCAATGTAATGCTGTCAGCTGCCTTTCAGAGGGAGAGGGGAGAAGGAGGGAAAGTGTTTGGGTGGGCTGAGGCAGAGCTGCACTCTGCTCTGTGTGCCCGCACGGCTCTCATGCTGCAGCTCAGCTTTGGCAAGACGTGCCCATCTGCTTGCCATGCCCAGGAGGGGAGCACATGGAACTGGAACAGGGAGTGACCCACCTATGATTGGGGTGCATAGCGGCTGCTGCGTCTGTGCGGAAGGCAGAGGCCATCATGGGGAAGAGGAAGAAATGCAAACTGCGGGACATCATGGAAGATGGTTGGTATCATGGAGAAATGATTTCAGCTCAGGATTTTCCAACTGTGTCATTTTGCACCTCTCAAAGACAGTGCGATTTCAGTTTGCTCACCAAGGGAAATTTTGTCAATTTTCCAAATTAAAGGAGATATTAAGAACATTGCTTTAGAAAAAAATACAATGTGTAATCAATAAGGAATGCTCTGCCAAGCTTCTCTCGTGCTTAGGAGCCTGCTGCATAAAGCACTGCATGTGCAAACCCCAGCAACAAGTGAAATTATTCTTTGTTCTTTGTCTTGCAGTTGGAATAGAGATCGACGGACAAGTCGAGAGTGACTCAGAGAGTGAAGGTAACCTAGAGATTTAAAAACGTTGTCTTGCTTGAAATACAAGAGGTGATATCTTTCATTTTTCTCTCTGTGTTCTGGCACAATCTACAGCAGTAACCATTTCGTGAGCTGCTTGTAAGCACCCAGATATTTCCCTCGAGGTTTGACTTACAATAGTGATATATAAAGCAATTCTCTTAAGCAGCCTACCCCCCTCATCCAAGTTCTTATAGCCCATGTCCCTTGGTCATCACCCCAACTGAACAGTTGTTGCATTGCCCAGCAACTGCATTGCACCACACCAAGATCCTGCCTGCAATGCACACCTCTGTAATACATGGGTGTCTTGATTAGACCTGACCACAAGAAGATAAAAATGAGAATGTATTGGAGAGAAGCTAACAAGGAGAAATAGCTAAGGGGTAGGATTATAACACTAGATAAAGAGAGATAGCTGAGAGGTAAGATCGCAACAACACTGTATAGATGATATGAATGGATAGACAACTGCAAAAATGGTCCACAGTCATGTCTGTACTGTCTGCACTATCCACTAAGCATGAGGAATTAATCAGAAAAATGACTGTTGTGTTTTTTTTAATAAATCATTCACCTTTCCCATACAGGCAAACCATAAGGTAAGATAGAAGCAACAAATGAATGTTCCACATTTACCCAAGTGTTTGATAGGCTGCAAACGAAAACAGTGATATCTGACTGCACAAAATGAACAGTTTTTCAAAGAGGGTAGTTGGTCTTTTGATCTAGATTAGTTGAGACTTACTACCTCATAGTAAGTGAAGTCTAACTACTGGCCCTTAAGAAATGAGTTGAAAGATCCTTCTCATCCCTAATGACAGGTGTGACTACCATTTCCTACTATCTAATATCTACTATTTTCCTACTACTTTTTATGACTATCAAGCAAAAATGATTGCTTGTTATTAATTTCTAACTGTTAACCAAAAGAAAAATGTAAGCTATTGTAAATTAAATGTAAATGTAAAATCATCAATAGGAAAAATGTAAATCTTCTTCCATTTTCTTCTCCTTTTAGGCTGCTCATCTTTTACTCCAAATCCAATTTCCCTCTTCCACCACAATTTCTCCAACTGTGAAGAAAAAAATCCGTGCCAAAATTACAAATTCCATTTTTGATGTGAACATTCTATTTTTGTTAGTTAAGTTTTGGAAAACTAGAAACCAAAAGAATCTGAAAATCTTAGTACTGATTTTTATGTCCTTGGTGGCAAAAGGGATGGAGTTTTTTGAAAGGTATTTTTCCCCTTTCCATTATATTCCGCAATTGAATCACATTCCACTTCAACCCTTCCAAATAGAAGTGCTTCAGAATTTGTACGAATTAGATTCTTAGCTTGCAATGCCAGATAGAACAAAAAATGTATCTTCTTTTTTTTCTTCTCTGGATATAGACTCCCTATAGAAGGAAAAACTCAGAGAACCAAAAGGTGATCCTGCCTAAGCTGTACCTTTTCTCTAGTTTAAAATAAACATCTCTGAAAGACCTCTCACCAAGCAGCAGCACGTTGTTTAACTGACTGCAGTTTCTGTTTCCACTGCCCAGGTTTGCTTACGTGACAAGAAGATATATATTTGTGCTCGTGCTCTCTGATGGATTGTCTTTTGCTTTTGTAACTAATTTCCAATTTTCTAATGGTCACACATGCTAAAATGAGCCTTGCTGCCTCAAAAGGAAGCTGGATGTGGCCTTGGGCAGGGCATAATGCAAAGTCCACCAAAGTAAATGGGCACCTGCACACTGACTTCCCTGGGGTTTGGACTAGGCACCCAGCCGGCACTTCTCTGGTGAATCCTCTTGGTGTCAGCACAGAAAGCTGTTTCCCAAAGTGCTTGTTGTTTCATTGTTTTTGGGGGTTTTTTTTATCCCTTGCAGAAGATGAAGTAAAGGACAAGAGATCCAAGAAACAGACCCGCAGGGAAATAGTCAGAGCAAACAGACTCGAAAGGAAAAAGTCACAGAAAAACGAAGAAGAAAATGAGAGCAAAGAGGAAGATGATTGTCCTCAACAAAGCAGAGCTTCTAGGAGGAAAAATCACCGAATGAAAAGAAATGATGGGAAAAAGGAAGGCGAGGGAAGAGAGAGAGACAAAAGGGCTTCTTCCAAAGATGAAAAGGAGTCAGAAAATAAGGAAAAGAAAACAAACACAAAAGGAAAAGAGGAAGAGAACAAACAGAAGAAAGGCAGGAAAAACAGGTAATTCATCAATCCCTGAGTAGTGCTGGGTGACAGACCTGCAGTTCTATGGGCACACCATGAGCCCAATGCATATGGGTCGTCACAGCAAAACCAATAAACTGCAAACGTGTCACTGCTTCCCAAAAGGGGGAAAAACATCAGTGTGAAATGCCATGTGGCAAAACCCTTTCCAAGTTCTTATTATTCTTTCTCAGCCGGGGTCAGACTCACACTACAAGTAAAGCACTCTTAAACAAGACAGCTTAAATGTCTCACATCAGGGTACATTTTTTGTTTCTCTATGGAAACAGTAAGGTTAAAAGGCATCTCTCACATTTTCAATGCTATTCCAAGCCACATCTGGCTTATCCAAAGCATGAAAAACATTTCTCTAGAGCCAGCTCTAGCATTAGGCAATGCTTCTACAACTGCAGTGAGGTCCAAAGCCAAATGTCAGATGAGTTATGGTTGTTGGGTAGGGACAGCGGTCCCCAAGGGGGCAAAATCCCACCCTTGCACACGAGCCACTGGCCCTGTACATTGTACTGGGATTTGCAAGATTCTAACTCCCATGAGTTTTTCCATTTTGTGCCCTTAATTTTATATCTCTCCCAGTGCCTCTTCCAACTCTTCCAACTCATCCGATGAGGAATCGCTGTCAGAGGAAGAGCTTGCAATGCTGATGGAGGAGGTGGAGCAAAAGAAAAAACTCATCTCCACCATGAGAAACAAGCCCTGGCGAATGATGAAGAAGCTCTCTGTGCTCAGGTACTGGGAACCCACCCTCAGCTGCTGTCAGCTGCACTTTGCCTCTCCCAGACATGGCACTTTTGCTGATGTTACCGTAACACTCCAGACTTGGAAAAGTGACCAGCTGAACCTGGTCACCTTATCTGGGATTAAAGGATCGGAGTTAAAATGTGGAATTTGATTTTCAGTCTCTGTAACCAGAGAATGGACGAGGTGCAAATCTGTTCAACTGATATCCACTGCCAGGTCATTCTACCCTTGTATTTAAAACCAAATGACTCACTGCTGTCAGTCTGCTTGTTAAAGCAAACTGCGCCCTGCTTTGCTTATTCATGCCCATTGTTAGACAGAAATCAAAGCAGCAGGGTGACATGTTACTTCAGAGTTCCCCAGATGGTGCTGCTTGGAAAAAAAAAATAATTATAATGTATTATTTGCAGATGTTTGTGGAGCAAAGATAACTGCTGCCCACAGGTCAAGAGGAAAGGGCTCATCACGAGTGGTTCCTGTGTAAAGGCAAATCCCAGATCTTCTGATCTGAAATCCCCTGTCCACAAGGAGATAATTTCAGCTTCCAAAATGACACTGTAAGGTACATGCAGCCCCACAGGGACATGGGGCTTGACAAGAGGCTGCCCAGAGCTGCTGTAATGGGCTGCAAAGGAGGGTAATCCCCATGTACCTCTGCTTCTCTTTAACACACCCAAGGCCAAGAGCTGTTCCATCTTCCCTTAGCATCAAGAGCTGTGAACACCAACAATTATTTCTAAAAATCTGGGTAAAGCTCTGTACACCTCAGAGTCTAAAGTTTTGCAAGAAAAGAAAACAAACAAACAAATAAAAACAGGAGTATTAATTCTGGCATATTCTACCTTTGGGGTAAAATTCTGCCAAGGATCATTTTTGGCACTGTACCTCCATCTTACCCCTGGATAATGGTAATCATTTCCACCCTCTAACAATCCTAACCAAAATTTTTGCAGTGCCTGTGGAGGGGGCTCCAAAAAGGCTCTCTGAGGGCTGCACATCCATAGTCATTTCAGTTGCATAAACTCATCCATGAGACAAGAAAGGATTAACCTCATTGTGCTGATGGGGAATGCAATGCATAGAGAGAGTGAAACAACGTGTTCAACACTTCCAAATCTGACATTAGGTTTGCAATTAAAGTCACAAGTGGTTTTTCAAAGGCTATGTACTGAACTAGCTGATAGTTTCTACCAGGGAGAAGTCTGTCATTCTCATAAGCCTAGGATTGCAAAGGATCTCCCAAGTCCTTAAATTTAATTTCTTCTTGTTGGTTTTTTTTTCAATGCACCAATATACAGCATAATTTCATTCACAAATTCATCATACCCCAATACCACCTACCCTGTTTGTTTCTCTCTGTTTTCTTTGGAAACTTCTTCTGAAACTGATTTAAATTTCCAGTCTGATTTTACTCCAGACCAGCATACACTCATTTCTCTGGCACTGTTGGGCCATTTCCATATGTCTGTGGAAGTGTTTACAGAGGGAAATTCTGTGTTCTCTTTGGGTCATTTCACTAGATATTGTTAATTTCTTCTTGACCAATGCAGTAGGCTAGAGTAACTTTCATAGACATGCAGGGATCGGAGAGGTAGAGGTGAAAAGCTAAAGACCTCCTTTGCTTTTCCAATAATCTGCACTTTTTTATTTTCCAACTAGGGAGGCACAAGCTTTCGTTGAAAAGTTTGAGGGAGCCCTGGGAAAAGGGAAAGGCAAAAAGTTGTATGCATATAAGATGATGATGGCAAAGGTAAGCACTGAAACGATGGTAAAGAGTGTAAACTGGTTATTAACTCACAATTTGCAAAAGAAACAGAAAGATGTATGGATAAATCTTCCTGTCCACATTAAGAATACTACTAGCCAGCTTCAAATCTGTGATGATTATAGAAAGAATAGGGGGAGATCTCCCCTGCCTTAATCTCATCGCTACCTTTCCTGAAGTAAAGAGGAGGAGCAAAAAGCACAGCCGTCTGCTTGCATTCTCCAAAAATGTGAAACTGAGAGACTCCTAAAAACAAGAGGAGCCATGCAAATCCCCTGCACGACCCAATGGACTCTGTAAAATGTCATCCCCCTGGTTAATGTGGACAGTATTTTAAGGCTGTATTGGTAACCAAGTTGCATGTTGTCATGGAGATTATATTGAGAAGGGCAAAAGGAAGCCAGGCTTGAGCTGATGGGAGTTTTGTTGTTGGTTTGATAAGGAAGGATCCAAGCTCAGTATTTTATCAAACTAAAATTTGTTTTAAACAGGGTTGGTTCTGCATTAATCCTTTCCGTCAAGAGCTTGATCTGAATTTTCCACTCCTCTGGTAAAATCACAGGGCAACCATAATTTTCTGAAAGCCTGGGAAGGGGAAAAATCCAGATAACGAACATGAAAATTTAGGGGGATTTGGGCTTAAAAGCAGTTTCCGAAATAGTCCAAAAGATCAGAATCAGAACAGATTTTGCTTTCAACTTCAGGACTTCAAACACACACTTCTAGCAGTGTTTGCAAGTTCTGGCATTATAAACCCCTCCAGACCAAGCAGCCTCCCTCTTTGTACCTCTCTGCTCACAGCCGTCTTGTCTTTTCTCAGAAATGGGTGAAATTTAAGAGAGACTTTGACAACTTTAAAACCCAGTGCATACCCTGGGAGATGAAGATAAAGGAAGTAGAGAGTAAGTAGAAGTCACTTCATGCTGTGAAATGGCATTGAGACATTTTGTAAGGCAGCTTTTCTTTCATTCAGACCGCACGCTGGTCCATAAGTCCTCACTCACCATGGGCACTGGTGCCATAAAATGAGCACATGAACAGCGCCAGCCTCCACCTTCGTTTCTTCTCTTCACCATCTGGAGGGTCTTTGGCAATACGTGGAGGAAGAACTGTGGGTAGATAGCTCTAGGTCTTGCTGAAGACAGTTTAACCCTCCTGAACTCCTAACCATAAAGTGTCTTTTGTTTTAAGGTCACTTTGGTTCCTCTGTTGCTTCCTATTTCATATTTCTGCGATGGATGTACGGTGTAAATCTTGTCCTTTTTGGATTAATATTTGGACTGGTTATAATTCCAGAGGTAAGTGCTTAATTCTGCCTGTAATATCTTGCCCATTGCTTAATAGAACATGAGATTGATGGCTTAAATAAGGATTTGTAACAGACAAATCTTTAGAACAACAAAATGCACGAGGATGATTATTTACAAAGAAAAACTTCTAAGGAGGCTACAGAGACAGGAGCAAAAGTTGTATTGAAATCAGTAGCCCTAAAATGCTACTCAAAATTCTGCCCATCCAGCAGATAACACAGGAACTCACAGACCTAGCATGAGGCTAGTTTTATATTTTGACTAAAGCATAACCAAGGAATCCTCCTACGTGCAAGCTCGGATCTGCAAGTGCCCTAAGAAATCAACTGCGGTTTTCAACAGATTAAGAAAATCCCAGTGACAGTATGGAATCTTCCAAATATTTCCTTCACCTCTTTGCATTGTACAAACTGTGGTAGAATAACAATTTGGGATCAGTTATTCCTGTGTAACCATGAAAGATCAGAGCCATCACATGCAATGCAGTCCTCACTAGATGTGTTGAATCCAGTTTTGACAAACGTGCCTTGCCACAAGCGTTCACAGGCTCTAGCATGGGATCACTGTGGAAAAATGCCCAGGTTTCTGATGGAAAGAGCCAATGGCAAAGTCCTTGCAGGAGCCCCTTTTGGCTCTCTGAGGGGCACAACCCCAAAATGATGACCACAACAATGTCCTGAAAAAGGAGCCACTGAAAAAGGAGGAGCAATTGATGTCCCAAGTAGTTTGCCAAGTACTTTGTTTGGGAACTCTTTTCTATATTTCTAATTCTGATGATTCCCAAGGATGAGTTTCATTTTTAGATTCTTGCACGTCTCTCTGTACTTGGAGAAGGAAAAGGATTTCATAGCCAACTGTATATAATCATTTCTTGATGAATTTTTTAATACAGCCATTGCAGTTCTGGTTAAATTGTTTGGTACAGTCCTCAAAGGCTGTGCACAAACAGTAGCATCTGTTCCGTTCAATGCAGAATTTTAGGGAGTAAAATGCAGCACAGAGTCCCTCCTGAGTTCCATGCTTTTGTTCTCCTTGATGTGGTCGTTCACCACTAGCAAAAGCTAAAGCTCTGTTTCCTCACAGAATGGAGAGACACAGCTATTAGCACTGAAAAATACAAATGTATTTTCTGGAGAACTATGCGTATGGTTGAACACTAAATAGCTTTATATAATTTGTCTTTAAAGAATGCATACTGTTACTGCCTACTGTTACAATACAGAGAGAAGCTGGGCAATAAACATTTAATCATAAATGATTTAAATTAACTAGATAGCCCTAAAATCTCAGTGATAGACAATATGCTAGGATCTTTCTGGGCTAAGAATGCTGAGATATTTTGGCATGGGAACCAGTCAGGGTCTGTTAGTAAATATGTTACTAACTCTCCACAGCCCTTGATACTCTCTTTGTGGACTTAGCTGCTGAACTTGCTGTGAGACCTGATGTGCATGGTGCCATCAGGAGAGCTGTGCCATGAAAACTGTTCTTCGTGTCATTCTGTCATACAACTCCTTCCCCAAACCTAAGTGCCCTTCACCTCACCTCAAGACCATTTTTTCAATTCCAGACTGTATAATAGAGAATCTACCACAAGCTTGACCCAGTGCTCTTGACTTCTCTCTAAGGAAGAGTCCTGCATAAATAGATAAAAGTAATCCCTTTATTGCATTAGACCCATGAAGTTCAAGCAAAGAAGCCTTGTGCTAAACTAAGGACATTTAAACTGGAAGTGTTCATGGAGGGATGTAATTCACTGGCAAAATATTTCCTGTGCAATGGATGTGACCAAGGAAAGAGAATGCCTCTTGTTATTAATTATGAATATTTTAAACTGCTCTTCAGGTACTAAGAAATAAAATATATACTAAAATCAAACAAAATAAAATCAAATGGGATTTGTTAATGAAAAATATACTGAAAAAAAAAATCTGTAGCGTCTTACTGAACATGCATTGCTGTTATTAATGCTTACCAGGTCCTGATGGGAATGCCATATGGGAGCATGCCAAGAAAAACTGTACCTCGGGCTGAACAAGCAACAGCTATGGATTTTTCTGTTCTTTGGGACTTTGAGGTAAGTACAAGAGTGTTAATCATAAGAGACCAGTTGAATACATAGTAAAACTCTTCCAAAGTTAGAGGAGCTACAGAAATGAATTTGTCCCAAGTTAAATTACTAATACAACTCTTTCTTTTAGAAGATGAAGAGATGCCAGCTGCTATGAATGGCAGGTAGTACAGATCTCCAGAATGCAGGCACAAACGTATGGGTTTGAATTCCTCCCTCTACGTGAGAGCTTGCTCACAGCCTTTGGAAAGGAATTATCCCCTCTTCATTGCCATTCCTATGTGCCAGGCTGAAGGGATGTTGCTGATTTTAACTGAGAGTCCATGAAATATACAATCAGTAAAAAAAAGTTATCTTGGATAAGGACGTACCATCACATTAAGGAGCAGCTACCAAGACCTGCCCACCTTATGCCTATGGCTGGGTACACCCATCTGCATGGCCATGCTGACACTTGGTCCTGCCAACCCCTGCCACACCTGGCAGCTTGAGAGGCAACCTTCAATTATGGGCTATCAGTGCACAGCTGAACCCTCTGCAGTCTGAAGATGTCAGTTTAAGCCCTTGAACAGATGCCTGCCCTTTGAAAATAAATGGATGCTTAGTCCAGCGTGCTCCATACAAGAGGTGCAATGGGGAAACATATTTTAGAGCAGGTGTAAAATGATGAGCCATTACTGTGAAACTGAAAAATACATTTTGAGAGGAGCCAGGGAAAAGCATGCTTTGGCTGGAGGAGATCTTATCACAGGTTTCCAGAGAGAAAAGGAATAAATCTCCCTTGACACCATGCATCACAAATGGAGCTTAAAGAACATGCTGGATGGTGTGTAGAGAGATCCATTTTTTAGTCCCCACAATTTGATGAACCAAAAAGATAAATGTTAGGAGTTCCAAGCTGAGAAAAACCTTCATTAGTGCCTTCCAGAAACATCATCTTTATGTTTCATGGAGATCTTTTCATTTCAGCTCCCTAGCATACAATGTACATAACATGCTCCAAATCCCAAAGAGACGTACTGAGGGCAGTCAGCAGCACCAGAAAAAAAAAAACATGCAAAGTTATCCTGTTCCTGTGACATTTCACTTGGTGCAGGACAAATGTGCAGCTCATGTTGCACCCAGGGATACCGAAGACACCTCTAAACTAGATTCAGTGCACAGCCTCCAATACACTTTTCAAGTGATGTCTCAATTTTGCTGAAAACCTTGCAAAACCTTGATTGGAAGAGGGCCTGCTCAACTATCATGGGCAGATTAATCATCTACGCTTAACTTACAAGCTGAAAGGCACGATATGCAGTGATACATACCAACTTGGACAAGATACGACAGAAAAACAAGGAGAGATCAGGTTAGGAGATCTGCATACTCTTTGAATGTCCCATCGTTTGCGCAGTAAAAAATAGGTCTAGTTGAGACAAGGTGGTTGTTATCATGTCTGAGCTCTGCTTTGCGCAGAAAAGAAATACTTTGATTTTAGTCTTTAGTTGAATTTGCTCAGCAGGTGGTGGCCAGTAAAAGGAATTAAATCTGCAGGGTATCGAGCATCTGCTGCCTCCCAGCTGACAGGAAAAGTTCCATCTCATGGTGGGGAGCCCCTTTACTACAGCATTTCTACAAGATTTGAGTGTTTGATACCGACTTAGAGAAGCAGGTGGGCTAAGACACAAAGAGCAATAAGGAGGTTTTTCTGGTAAGGATGAAACAGCAACAGACAAAAAATGGATGTTAGTTTTGATCCAGTACCTTCTGACGCAACCCCTCTCTTTTCCTCTCTTGGAGGAAGGTAAGCAGGGCACATCAATGGTTCTCAGAGATGATGGGGCAGCAAACAACTCTGAATGATACACTAAAAAAAAAAGAAAACCTGCAAGCTGATTTGCCTTGTTTTAAGTTTTCAATTTTCACCAAAAACCTCTTTCCTACAGAGCAACAGCCACACGGCTTTCACAAAGTTTTGTGTTTGCTTTTCCTCTAGGGGTACATCAAATACTCAGCGCTCTTTTACGGCTACTACAACAACCAGCGGACAATTGGCTGGTTAAAATACAGGCTGCCAATGGCATATTTCATGGTTGGGATCAGCGTGTTTGGCTACAGCCTGATGGTTGTTATAAGATCGTAAGTACAGCAGAGTTGCCCCCCTGCACAGCCCACTGGGAGTATTTCCTAGCTGGGCTCCCCCAACAGCACAGCACTCAGCCAGATCCAGTTTCTACAGGTAGAGCACAGAAAGCAGCTTCATGCCTGCTGGGTTCCTCTCTAGTCTGCTTCATCCCTTCCTCCAACATTACTACGGGGCTGCCTTGCCGACAGAAGTTGAACATGAAGGTGCCAGGGCAGCAGGGATGCAGCTGAAACTGCTGCTGAGCCTGCCTCTGCCAAAAATAAACCCCTCTGTCTGTATGGAAGCCACACTGTGAAAAGGTTATTCTTCCCTTGCAAGAAAGGAGAAGCCAATAGGTTTGTATTGCTAACGAAACAAGCCCTAATGCTATACAGCAGAAAGAGCCACATGAGCCATTGGCTGGAGCGGGGCACGGGGATTTGCTGTATATTTGCCACCAAATGGCAGCATCTGTTGTCTCATCTTTCCTGAGGGGCTGCTAGGAGCTCTAGCAGGAGTTACACAATGATTTCAAGGATCAGACAACAGAGAGGAAACAACAGAAGCCATACCAGTTCCTATGCTGATTAGTAAGAATAATCCTTTGCCTCTCCTTGCATGATTTGCTGCAAGCGATTTTGACTCCAACAGTATGCAGCTACCAAAATCTCACTAAAATGCTGTGTTGCAGTCAGCATACTAGACAACAGCAGTGGTTTTTGACTAAATTTAACTAGCTAAAGGTTGTCATTACCATTAACCCTACCCCAAGGCCCAGAGGTGCTGTAATAGACTTTCTTAATGCACTAGGTGGTGGAAGCAATCCCTAGCCTGCTTTCATCATCCATAGTAGTTGTTCTACACAATACACATTTTAATATAAGGCCTGTGAACTCCAACAACCCCAACAGACAGTTCAGTTTGTCCTAAATCTTTACAGGATGGCACGAAATGCTAATGAAAGCACAGCAGATGGGGACGATGACAACTTCGTTTTCAGCTGGAAAATGTTCACGAGCTGGGACTACCTCATTGGCAACCCAGAGACAGCAGACAACAAGTTTGCATCCATCACCACCAGCTTCAAGGTAATCCTTAACCAGAGTTTCTCTGTTCACTTCTGGAAATGCTCCCAGCATCTCCTGAAAGCATGAACAGCACTTCCAACAACCGCCAGCTCCACGCTTTCCTTTACACATTCATACCAGCTCATGTAAGGAGAAAGCAATAAATAAAAGAGCCGTCAGTCAGCATCTAGCTACTTGATCTGGAAAGTAACTTCATCCAGTTTAACCTCATTCAGAGCTAATGCTCCGTGTAAAACCCCAGAGAATGAGGACTTGACGGCAGCCTTGCACACAGATAAAACCAGAAGGATTTTTGCTAACATGCAGGAAAAATTTTTGGGAGTGTAACACAGCTAAGGCTTAAGATCCTGAGTAGGCATTAGCTACAGAAATTGCTCTTAAAGTACCATCTTCAATATAGCCATCATAGTTCTAATTTACACTTTGTAGGGTAGGAAACCACCTGATGTTGCCTTAGGCTCAGTGTTACGACATACACACTCCATTTCCGTGGGCATCTCTGCTTTTCCAGGAATCTATTGTGGATGAGCAAGAAAGCAACAAGGATGAGAACATCCATCTGAGGAGGTTCCTGCGGGTCCTGGCCAACGTCCTCATCATATGCTGCTTGTGTGGCAGCGGCTACCTCATTTATTTTGTGGTGAAACGCTCCCAGACGTTTTCAAAAATGCAGAATGCTGGATGGTATGAAAGAAATGAGGTATGGAAAATTTAATTCCAGTTTACTGCTATGAAAGCATTCCTTGAACACTAGCATAATTGTTGCACCAGCCTGAAGATGGCATCCAAAGCAGAGCCATGGCCCCGAAGTCCCTCTGTAACTTCATATTAGCCAGGAAGAAGACTGCTCTCGTTGAGAGCTTCTGGGACAAATCTACAACTCCTGCAGGCAGGGAAACTGCTCTCACAACAAACAGCAATAAAAGTCAGTGCAACTTCAGCAATCACATTACTAATATAAATGCCTCAACCTCCAGTTGCATATTAATGCTCACAAACCCTACTGTACTAGAAAGCTCTCTGGGTGCTGAAAACATTCATAATCAGACATAAAGTTAAACTCAAATCTTTTTCATTTCTATTGAATAACAAGAATAAGGTTTTACAACCTGCAGAAAAAAAAAAATCAGTTGTCAAAAATCTTTCTCTGTCTGATTTTGGAATGAAATACAAAAGTTGTTTCTACCTACTGAAAGGCTTAATTTCAATGCACAATTTCTTACCATGTATCTATATATCAAAGTCAAATCAAATTCAAAATAATGTTTTCTCCTAATTCCCTCAGAGAAAACTCTGCGACAGCTCACAAAATGCTTTGATTTATTTGAGTCAACATTTCCAAAACAAAAAAAAATTACTAGGATCTGCAACTTTCCTATTGATAACTTAAGATCTGCACATACACAATTCTGGGTACTGTTCCCCAGCTAGGGAAGAAAAATAAAAAAAACCAAGTGACTGAGATAGAACCTGCTGTTGGCTGTACAGACACAATCCTCTGTGGGCCAACAGGCATTGGATGGCTTAAAAAAAAGACAGAGCCTGCAAGTCATGCCTGAGCTAATGCTGTCATGTCAGTGACCTCACTGACCATAATGACCCAATGCTTTGCACCTCACAGACAAAAAAATTGAGACGTATTTTCTTGGACTGCAGCATTGAGTCCTTGATGCTCTTGCATTCACATTCATAACTGCCTATCAAAAAAGCGCAGGTGCTGAGTGCAGCAAATAAGCATTAGCATCAACTAATTATTTCTAGGCACAAGTACAAGTCAAGCCTCATCCTTCCTCTGAAACTAAAATAAGCAACTAGGAGCTGATGCAGGCAATAGCATGAAGGATGTGAGGAAACTAAATATGCATGAGCTTGGACTGACCAGGAACAAACTCCTCAGAGCTCATCCCTTTGAGATAAGGGCAAAAGTGCTCCCGCAGGAGCTGTGCAGCTGACACACTAAGCCAAGCTGGGAGTTGAGCTCATTCTAGCTCCCTCTCCTTCATAAAACCTTCAAGAAGCCCCAGACAGTTGCCGACAATTTGCTGGCAGCTCCATGTGTTCCTTGGTCTAAACCTTATTACTGTAATTGGTTGCTCTTAATAGGAAAGAGCAGAAACTCATTTGGCAGCACGCTATCAGATAACACAACTTTCTCCCCATTACATGCCAATCCCACTTTTGCTGCACGGCTCTAATAGAAAGTCATTTGCTGATGGTAAAGATGTTTGTCAGCTTTCTCCCTGGTGGAAGCAGTGGCCTTGCTGTAGGAACAGCCAGCACACCTAATTTTGATAACAGCTCACACTAACGTGGTCATTCTTGTTGCCCTTAGCAGTAACCTTCTCATCTGACAGGTTGAAATTGTGATGTCCTTGCTGGGTATGTTTTGCCCTCCGCTGTTTGAAACTATTGCCACACTCGAAAACTACCATCCACGCATCGGTCTGAAGTGGCAGCTGGGGCGCATCTTTGCCCTTTTCCTGGGAAACCTCTACACATTCCTCCTGGCCTTGATGGATGACGTCAACGAAAAAGTAAGAGCTAAGATGAGAAGCCAAATTTCCCAGCATTTTCTGGAGCCAAGGGTGATTGCAGCCTCTCTCTTCATCCTTTGCAGCAAGTCCTTTTCTCTTCTCTATTGTTCTCAAACATTAAGTTATCCCAGAGAGAGGCTGAGTTGGGTTTGGAAATACCAGGTTAAGGTCAGGGACTCAAGGACACATTCATAGGCCTGTCTCCAACCAGCCTCCAACTTCTTTTTATAGACACGAAAAAAAGAGGTGCTATAGTCTTCTGTAATCACAGACTAATAAGGTAATTTGACTTTTTTCTCTGACACCATTTGCAGTTTCTGTTAATGCAGACCCTAAGGATATGATTTATAATCCTCTTCCCCTGCCCTCCCTCCTTAGCATGATCCTGGTGGAGTGTTGCAGGCAGATAACTGGTGGAAAGGATAAATGTCTGACTGATCCACAGAAAAAAAAATGACTCCATTTTAAGTGGAGAAGAATAAGAGGAATCGAGGAGGTTTGCTCAGCCCTGAAGAACAATGAACAAAGCAAGGAAGGAGGACCTCACAGAGGTCCCTCCACATTCCTATTGACAGTCCTGCTCTCTTTTTTTCTGTGGCCCCCACACCATGGCTCACAGCTCTTCCATGTGCAGGGAACAAGTTGCTGGCTCCCCAAAACTCGCTGCTTTTGGTCTGGAAGGGCTGTTAGTTTACATTCTGGTGCAACTCTGCTGCAAGCAATTTCTTGTATTAGGGGTGGTAACCAGTAGAGAAGAGAGGGGAACCCATTGGCATCCTTTGGAGACCCTACATACCTATGTTTTTGGCTGAGGTGTGTCTCCATTGCAGCTGGCTGAAGAGGACGTTGTGAAGAACATCACACGCTGGACACTGTTTGGCCACTATAACTCATCCATGGAGAACAGCACAGCTACCCCTCCTCCCCTCGACCCTGCAGACGTGCCCAGGGGACCCTGCTGGGAGACAACTGTTGGCATTGTAAGGAATTTGTTAGGTAGTAAATCTCTGGGATTTTTCAAGACAGGTTTTTTTGGTTGATGTTTTTGATGTTCCTAGGAGAGCGATGTTTTCCTTGCAAATGGCATTGTCCTTCCCAACTCCCACATAGTAGCACCAAGGTAACAAAAATCCTTGGCCACAGTTCTCAAGCTATGGCCATGAAACCTCCACCACACACAAATCTGTAGCACTTTCCACAAAGAAATCACCCTTCAACTCACCTGCTTTGGGCACCAAGAAGTTCTGCAGTTCTTCAGAATAGAAACTCCAGCAAGAATAGACATCAATCACAGACATCAAAGCATAGTAATATCGAGATTTTTTTGACAGCACAATTAAAATTATTCTCCACGTATGTATATTCTACACTGCAGCACTGGCTTTGTGCTTTCATTTTATGTGCTGCCACAACACAGAGCACAGTCAATAACACCAACATCAACTATTAGGGTGAACAGCCACAACACAGCTCGTTGTTCCCAACCACAGAGGTGAAGTTGAGGCACCGCTGAGTGCCTCAAAACAAGTAGGGCACCTGCACACAGCATGCCTTTCTGAAGGTTACTGTCATAAAAACTGAAATGTCTTAATAAAAAAGACGTGGTCCTGAATGCGCTGCTGAAATTACGAGAGCTAAATGGTTTTTTTCCTTGTTTTAAATTGCAGGAGATTGTAAGGCTCACCGTGTCTGATATCCTGGTGACCTTCGTAACCATCCTGGTGGGAGATTTCGTCCGAGCTTGCTTTGTGAGATTCATGAATTACTGTTGGTGCTGGGACCTAGAGGCTGGATTTGTAAGTCAACGTCCTGTTGGGTCTTAGAGCTGAGAAGCCAGAAGTAATTTAAGGTCATATGTTTAAATATGGCAAATAGATTTTCAATGTTTCCAGCCTTTATCTGGTCTTACTTGATAATTTAATTGATGTAGCCAGTCTCTGCATCACTTCTCGGGATCAGTCAGTTTGATCCCAGAAAATACTCTACAAAAATAGGGTTCTTTCTCCCATAGCAGGACTTGAAAACATGAAGATGAATTGAAAAAAAATAACATAATATTCATACAGTCATTATAACCCCAAAACTTTGAGTCCATCTATATTAAGTTCCAATTCTCAACATCCCATATCTTCCTGTGCTCTGTAAGAAGTAGGATGCTTTACTCACAACACAGTTTTCTGATCTGTGCTGGAGGTTGGCCTTATTTCTGCTGCAGCAGAATAAGGAACTCTTCCTTCTGTTCTCCACATGCATAACACACAAGAGTGCTGAACCCTTTGATATTCATAAAGGCTACATTACCAAAAGTGCCAGTACTGGAACTGCAAAAATACAAAGAAAAACAATGAAAAAACAATGAAAGGAAGGGAGGAAGGGAGGAAGGGAGGAAGGGAGGAAGGGAGGAAGGGAGGAAGGGAGGAAGGGAGGAAGGGAGGAAGGGAGGAAGAAAAAAGGTCCATTGTTCCATATTATTAACAAACAAACAAACAAAAAAACAAATGGATTAAGACAGAGAAACAAATACCTGGAAATAACGCAATTATATAAGAGCACCAGCTGGCTACCCATCCTGCTGGGAGGGTTTCCAGGAGAGGTCTAAAGAAGAGCAATGAGGTGAGATTTGCAAGTGCCTACGGGGCCTTGGTAAGACAAGGAGAGCTGGGAGGGGGCATTTTGCTGCCTGTGGGGCTCTTTGAATTTATTCTGGAGGAGGTAGAGAACATTTCCCCTGGCGGACAATGGAATTCAGAGCCTCCTGACAGCTCCCTCTGCACGTGCTCACAGATCTTGTTCTCATGTAAGCTTCTGTTTTCCTCCTCCAGGCTATCCCCTTGCCTCTCTTTGTTAAACACCTTTTTTATTTTTTATTTTTTATTTTTTTTTTACTTTGATGCTTTCCTCAAAACAACCTTTGGAAATACCACAAAGGGTTTTCTTCATTCTTAAGAAGATTTCCATTTTACAAATAACTGGAAGTCTCTTCTGTACTGCAGGCATTCCTTGATTTATATATATAATAAAATAATAATAACAATAACAAACATAGCTATCCATTTTCTACCTCTCAGTGAAATGGAAAAGATCTGTTTCAGAACTTCTCTTTCTCCTCCCTGGCTTTCAGCCCAAGCAAGCTGCGAGGTGATGCTGCACTCAGATACAAGACCCATCCAGCATCTACCAGGAGATGAGCCAACTAACACGCTCCAGCAGATTGCCTTTTGCAAATGAGCCATATAATCCACACGAGCTCAGAAGGAGCAGGGCAAGGCCCTTACTTACTAGGACTAAGCAGCAGAATAATATTGCAGTACTTAACATGGAGCTTTTAACATGGAGCTAGAGGGTTTGCAGTGCAATCTGGCAAAGGACAAACTCTCCTTTCATGCCATGTGGCTCCCATCGTAGTTACAGAAATACGGAATTTCTGTGAACTCACTGTTCTTTTTCTCCTATGTCTTTGGGAGATTACTCCTGGTGCTGTGTGTATTACTCCATCAGAGCTCAAGTAGGGTTATACTTTTCACCCCCCAGCTCAGAAATGAAACAGGATGTTTTGGCAGCAGCCATCTAAACCAACCTATGGATACTGCACAATCATAGATGTGTTTTCCAATGCATGAAGTGAATAGCAATTTTGCTTAATCTGGCCTTCCTACAGAGACTTTGCTTCCCTCAAAGCAGAAGACAAGAGCTTTTGTTACTTTCATGTCAAAAAAACAAGCAAGTATCAATACCTAACTAAAGGTTTATAGTCGAAGTGGGCCAGAATCAAAAGAAAGAAAAAAAAATGTAGTATCTGTACCCATTTCTTCCCAAAGCTGTGAGCATTCAACTCAGCACAGCTCTGGCTAAGCTGCTTCTGAGTTTTCAACATAAAAGTCACACTTGCTAAAACTCAGCTTTATAAAACGTAAGAGTATGAAGTGCATGCAAAATGGGTCAAAAGCAGACATGCTACACTGGACTTTTCAAACACATGAGGTCATAACCCATTATTTTTTTAGAACTATGCTCTGTATTGTAATAGAAAAATAAATGTTGCTCATGAAAACAGAACTTTACCTATAGTTTAAATTGCCAGCACTGACCTGAGTTTTGTATGTATTAAAGCATATCTATGGAGAAGAGTAGCTATATGATAGCAAACCTGGCAGAATGATAACTTATAAAATGATAAGTACTATCAGTAGATTAGAGCTGCTTGTTCTGAATTTAGGACTCATATCAAACAGGTCGCTTCACAGAAGGAAGTATTTTAACTACTGACTAACATAGTGCAACACCTGATACTGACCAGGTTAAGTATTCCTCCAGTTTTCCCTTCTCATGCTCTTTGTTTCTCCTCTCCAGCAGCCTGCTACCCCAGGATCTAAGGACACACATATACATATCTGGTGCATCATTTGCTTGCCAGCTCATCATAATGGCTGGTTAAATATTCAGTATCTTACTGTGGTGAAACTACAAATCTGCAGCCAGATACACCAGCTGGTATAAAATCCAGTCCTGTGCCATGACTCCTTCACTTGGGATTGCCTCTATTAGTAGGGAAGAGATATAAACATGGAGCAACTCTAAGTACTTCCATACATCTATGCGATTTTAAGCACGCCAAAAGAAGAGAAGCAGCCCACAACACAATAGCTCCAATTCTGCTTTCATAGCTCTTGTTCTCAAGCAGCATGCACACAGTGCAGGAACAGCTGGACTTTGTGTTGAGGGACATGGTTTAGTGAGCATATTGGTGATAGGTGGACAGTTGGACTGGATGATCTCGAAGGTCTTTTCCAACCTTGGTGATCCTGTGATTCAGTGGGAGCCCTCCCAGAAATCCCTTCATACCATGTCTGAATAAGTGTCCTTACACCCAAAGCAATAGCAAGCAATAAGCAGGTACCTCTGGCAACACCTTCATTTCATTTTGCATTCTTTTCTCTTCCCACACAGCCTTCCTATGCAGAGTTTGACATCAGTGGCAATGTTTTGGGTTTGGTCTTCAACCAAGGAATGATTTGGTAAGATAATTTCATGTTTTGTTTTTGAATTATTGAAAAAAAAGCTATCCTGTGGAGTTAGAATGTTTGGGTTTCGGTTTCTCCCATTGTTTTGCTTTCTGCGCTTGGCTACAAAAGCAGAAATTTAAAACTGTCACTTTAGTTGCCAAAGAACAGCTGTCTACTGAAACAGGGAACAGTTTTGGAAACTCTGCCCTAGTCTCATACTCTCAAGTCATTTTTTGGTAAAAACGTAATTTCCTCATCCTTTCAAAAAAACTTAAGAGCTGGAGGAAGAGATTAGAAAGGGTTCTGGGAAAGCTGCAAGCTCACCTTGTCAGCACAAGGGTGGCCACGGAGCCAGCTGAGCATGTCAGGCAAAAGAGGCACAGCCCAAAATTGCCCCAAAGGAGGGCAAACTAGAGATAGGCAACCACACAAAGAACTTCACTTCCTCTGGGAACAAGGTTTCATTTGCCAGGGTGTAATGTTTCTCTACTTCAACATCTCTGCAGACTCAAGGATGCCTCCCTGCTGAGTACATCCACTTGACATTTTCCAAGCTATCCCCACGCAATTTTTGCCACAAACTGCAAATGTTTCTTTGCAGCCACTTGAGGCCCGTCTGGTGCTCATTGTGTGGTCACTATAAAATGGGCACAGGCACTTCTCCTCGAAAAGTACAAGGATATCACAAACCAGCCCACTCAGGCTTTAGCTGTGGGCAAACTTCCACTACATTAACAACATTTTTTCTTCCTTTGAAAATAAAAAAACCTTCCAGTCTGTCAAAAATTGGTACCTTTTCCTCTTGTTTCCTTTTCAGGATGGGATCCTTTTATGCACCAGGGCTCGTGGGTATAAACGTGCTGCGCTTATTAACCTCCATGTATTTTCAGTGCTGGGCTGTCATGAGTAGCAATGTTCCTCATGCACGAGTATTCAAAGCATCCAAGTCTAACAACTTTTACATGGGACTGCTGCTGTTGATCCTGTTCCTCAGCCTCCTTCCCGTGGCCTACACCATCATGTCCCTGCCTCCTTCCTTTGACTGCGGACCATTCAGGTAGTAGCAAAATATCAAAAATACCTGTTTGTTGCTCTGATGCAAAGTATTATTTCCACAAAGTTTGAAGGCTTGGTCTCCAGCAGAGATGGTTTAATACCTCCAATTTCCATCACAAGGCCATAAGACTTGCTCACTTCTGGAGGCACACAGTCTGCTGGCAGCAGTCCGCCTCCTCTGAGCTCATCTGCTTTTCTCCAGTGCAAGGTGTTTTGTCCCCTCCTCTGCTACTCCATACCTAGTGCTTCCTCATCACACACCAGTTAAAGGTGTGGAAGACAGCAGGACACAGCCTTAAGTCTCCCAGCAACATTGTGGTAGCAGAGAGGGATTCTAAACCCTCCAAGACCTTCCACATAACCAAGAAATCCCACGCCATGAGCTGTGCTTAATTTTGATGGAAAACTGCAGGAAATGAATAGGTCTGAGTCTGAAGAGTTGCTGCTTTTAAAAAGAAAAGTCTATTTTTTTCCTCTTCTAGATTAGCACTGCTCAGAGCATTCAGTGGGCTGGATTAACATGCCAATAAAGTCTAATTTGATCGAGTAACACCATTTCCTGGTCCTACTGAGTCTCACTCAGTACGGAGCCCGATTGGAACAAATTGTTCCTGTGGGTTATCTATCCACTGATGGAGAATGACAATAAAAGACTCAGGGAGAAAAGCAAGAAACCGAAATTTCCTCTGTTCTGTAACAAGGACAGGTGTCTAGCAGCAATGTCAGAAGACCTAACAGGAAGCTAGTTGCCTGCATGCTATCATTTAGAGATGACTAACCTGAAAAGAGAGAGAGCTATTTTAATTCTCTGTCTTTCTTCAAAATCCACTCAGCGTATTTCACCCCCTCAGCACAACTTTCCACCCATAACTTGACTGAAAACTCAACCTTCCTAGGCTTAAGGCAACCGAGGAAGCTGGAACCCCTTCTAGCTAATCTTGTCTCTCATCATAAGGACAGAGTCCAGTGCCTTTCTGAGCAGAATCCAAAGGGATTGCAAGGAGGAAGAAGGCCTAAAAATGAGGAATAGCACTCATGGGCTGAATTCACAGGTGCTGGGGGAGAAGAAGGTCAATTACACAATCCAGCCAAATTCTCGGCTTTTACAGTTTTGTTCTAATTTCACATAGAATACCCTCATCTGCTTTATCAATCCAATTTGAAATGACTATTGCTGAGTTTCCTATTAAGTGATAATCACAGCTTGCTATTTCTGTCATTGCTTAACAGCTCTTCAAGTTGGTTCATCATTTCAGAAAGGCAGAATTTGCATAAGGAAAGTCATCTTTAATGTGAGAAGGCCACATCTAACAAGATATTGATCAGAAATGTATGATTATTGCAATCTGCAGATTTTTATACATTCCAGAATGGCAAATGGATAGGATTCATAAAGGACCTGCCTACTGAAATAGATGTACAATCTTTGGGATCAAGTTGACTTAGCAGAGATTATTCCTATAACCAGTGATGGGGCTAGTCAAGGGGGAATGGACAAAAAGATAATTTGGAATGAAGTCATTTCAGTAGAATTTTTACTTCCAAATCCTTGGTGATCAACAGCAAGACGATGTTCACTTACAGAGAGGAAATATGCTACTTAGCATCATTAAATTGGGAGTTACAGTGTCCCTCTATGTTCTCTCCACACTTCTTAACTAACCATTTGTCTTTCCAGTGGAAAGAAAAGGATGTATGATGTCATTCAAGAGACCATCGAGCTTGATTTCCCACTTTTTGTTGCCAAGATCTTCGGCTATGTGGCAAATCCAGGACTAATCATTCCTGCAATTCTGCTCATGGTGTAAGTTTTCTTTGCAATATTACAATCACAATATGGTGGGAGGTGAGGAAGAAGTTCTAAAAATGGCTGGGATTTTAGCAACGTCTACATACATCTGCTGAGATAACAGCCTAGATGAAGACAGACACACTTCCTGCTCCCCAAATCCTTGCCTGACCCAGTTTTCCAACATTTAACTTCCCAACCCAATTAAACACAACCTTGTAGATTAAACATATTGCTGACAAAGGCCTCATGGTTGTCACAGCTTCCATTTGAAAACTTTTCAGTAGCCAGTAGGAACTAAATGGGTAGTGTCAGCCTGGTGCCTTGTGGAGAAGCAATTTCTGTCACAGCTGGTGGTATTCACAGCAGCGCCAAGGCAGGGCATTCAAAAATTACACGTTCCAAAAATATGAAGAGAGTATCTTTTCTTTTATTCTTGCGAGTAATATATCTGAAATTTGTTTCAGTGCTGTTAGATCATTTCAGCTTTGAAGCTACATCAGAAGCCATATTTGATCCTTGATGCCCCCAGCAGCATCAGAACCAGGGCAGTTCTCATTTTATTTATTTACACATATACATTAGGAGACTTTTGGCATTACTCTTGAGGTTTCCAGAGCTATCAAAATGAGTGGGAGAGCTGTGGCCAAATTTTACTGGCAGCTTTGAACACGCCAGACTAAACAGCTGAAGATAGTGAAGGGTTTGGAAAGCATATTTTACAGGCTTGCCTCTCTTACGCTTCCTTTGGCATGCAATCATGTTGGCTTCAGGTCTGATCTATCTCGGGCACTGTGGCCATTCACTCTGAGTAGGTTACACTGAAGATAATGCCATTAAATTAAATCAAATGTAAGTTCACGTGTTACAGAGTTTCTAACAGGAACAGCCCTGAGAAAAATCCAAATTAAACTGAAAATCGCTAATTGTCCCTCACCCTGTCTCAAACTCCATACTCATTTTAACCTAAATAAAGATTATTAGATACCGTAACACCTGCAGACTGATCCCAAACTTAGAAGAATCTGATATGAATCACGCAGAAGACAAGAAGTCTGATGTCACAACTCCAGTATGGCCAAGCACATTATTGAGCTATGAGCTCTAGTTCCACAGGTCTCACAGTAGCACTATCAGATGCTACAGCTTGTATGAAGACTGCAGAACTAACCCAACCCAAATGGATAACCTTTCCAAAAGGGCTGTCTGTCAGGTTTTTGGGCCTTCGACACAATCCCTCCAAAAATAACAAATAAATAAATAAATACATACATAAGTGACAGATCTTTGAAAATAACATTTTGGTTAAAAGCTTGGACAATCTCCAACCCTTTACTACACTGACAGCTGGGTCAGGACGTAGCAGAAATCTTATTTACCTGCTGAAGATGCTCCATTCATCAGCCCTTCCCCATCTGGTCTACTCCTCACCTACATATTGCAGCCTTCCTGTGGGCCCATCTCTCCCAGATAAACCATTTGGTCTCTGTCCTGATTCTAGCTCCAACAGAGATACCACCTAAAACATCCTTGCTTCCTACCCAGATACATGGCCTGTGCAGCTTTGAAGGATATCAGATACTGGACTTCCAGTTATCCTGGAAGAGGGTAGCTACAATAGACGGACTTTTTCTAAGGTTTTTTCTCATCTCTCTCATCCTGGAAACTTTTCAGTTGAAGAAATCCCATTTAAGACACAATCTTTATGCACCTACAAAAGTCACATGCCTCTATCTAGAAGCATGGCCCTATTTAACAATGCACAGCAGCCTCTCACGATATAACTGGAAATGACCTAAATATACAGAGAGATAAAATTATCTCAGTTTAGATTTTGCCAGAAGAGCAAGATAAAGTTCCTTTTTGCTTACAGTCCTGTAACTGACTGCTACCACTGGCCAGAAGCTTAGGTTTCTGTGTCTTTCACCATTTTATTCAGAAAGTAGGTAACTATAAGTCATATTAGTAATCCCTGGCTTTCCTTTCTTCTGCTGTTCTTTCTGCTGTAGTGCAGGCAGCCTCAAAGCCATGCATTACAAACTGTTTTTATATTTCCCAAGCAATCAGTCTGATAATATGTAAAAAAAAATCCTTCAGAAGAACAAAAATAAGAATCCAAAATGTCTTTTGATAGACAGAGCGCCTGTATCACCAAGACTGATCGTAGATTTAATTCTAAGTAAAAAGAAGTAAATGTGTTTCCTCCAGACAGAACCAAGCAGAAAGGTTCCAGAAAGGCCATCCAAAGTATTCCCTTCCAATCTTCCTCCCAGGAACCAAAATGGCTGTACTCACACTGCTAAAACCCTCTAGCCCTGTGTGAGGATGCTGAACCTGCACCAGAGCCGTGCATTCAGGTTATGAACTGACATGAAACCCTTATTTTAAAAAATCTACTTACTGTTTTTTCTAACCTGAATTTTCTGCTTATTAAAAAAAACCACACACACAATAGCAGTGAATTGAATGGGTGGTACTTTTCCCAGGAATGGCTCGAAGTCACTGAGCAAATGATGTTTATAATTAAGAAGAACAAAAGCTCTCTACAAAAGCTGGAGGAGACAGTTTTGACAACCAAAATATTACCGGGTGAGACAGCCTCAGACACTTGGGCACATTTTGAAGCACACACCTCATCAAGTGCCAAAGACTGGCAGCCAGCATGCCCTCTCTGATCCCAGTCACTTTTCAGTTTCTTCCAGCACGGCTGGTTCCTCTCCCTGCTTTGGCATGCCTTTTTTGCAGAAAAAATCTAAACAAAAGCCAGTGTCTCAGTGCCAGCCTGGCTCCTGCTTGCCCCTAGTTCCCATCTCTGCTCCCTTAGAACAGGTGGACCGTGCCTTGAACAGTGTGCTTTACAGGAGTGGGTTCAAGGCCTTCCTCTGCCCTGTTTTCCCTAGTTTCTTATGTTTTTCTAAGCTCCCTGATTAACCTGTTCTGTCTCATGTTTGGTTTCCTGTAAGCCACAGCAAAAACCCGTGTGTTTTATCTGCTTCATTGGTTTTCACCCAGAGAATGCACTGAATGGTCTCACCATCAGTTAATGTTCCAAGGACCAAGGCTAACATAGAGGAAGCCGGACAAGGCAGAGGCAGGAGGATTGTTTTTCTTTTATTTGAGCAGAGCTGAGCTGTTGGACTGGTTCAGGGCACTTAATCTGTCTGCACCCTGAGGCAGCTTGAGTTTTTCCCTAAACCTTGAGCATCAAAAGGCAGTCTGGAGACAGCTGGCAGGAAAACTGCATGAGGGGAGGTTATTAAAACTTAAACAGTAGACTCAAACCCTTCTCCACTACTTCTTCCCATTGTCAATGCATTTGACACTGTACTGCACAACATCTTTTCAAATTGGAGAGAAACGTATTTCACAGATGGACAACTCTGTGGATAAGGAATTGGCTGGATGGTCACACTCAAAGGATTATGGTCAATGGCTTGATGTGCAAGTGGAGAACAGTGACAAGTGATGTCTCTCAAAGGTTGTATTGGAACTGGAACATCCTTGATACAGACAGTGAGACTGAGTACAATCTCAGGAAGTTTGTGGGTTACACCATGCAGTATGGTCAAAACACAGGAGGAAAGAGATGCCATCCAGAGGGACCCTGATGGGCTTGAGAAGCAGGCCTGTGTAAACCTCATGAATTTCAACAAGGTCCTGCACCTGGCCAGGGCAATCCTGAGCATAAATACGCGCTGGGAGGAGACTGGATTGAGAGCAACCCCAAGGAGAAGGACTCAGGGGTGTTGGTAGATGAAAAGCTTCATGTGAGTCAATAATGTGCACTTGCAGCCCAGAAAGATGACTGTGTTCTTGGAGGTGGAACAGGATGATCTTCAAGTTCTCGCCCAAGCCAAACCATTCTGAGTCTTTAAGTGACCGTGTAGTCCAGGCTCAGCAAACAAGTTTAATTAAGCCCTAAATGTAATCCTACACAGGATGCTTGTGCATAGGATCACTGTATGGGGGGCAACAGGTCCTATGGGAAACCAATTTGGATTATTAGGCTTCCCTTTGTGCTCTCAGAAAGGCAGCAGCTTTGGGAATTTTATGTTCTCTCCCAGTGAAACTTTCTCTCTCCTTAATCACATTACTGCAGCAATACATTTATTTTTGTAGCCTCGCTATCTATTATCTGAATGCTGTGTCTGAAGCATACCAGCGCGCCAACGCAGAGTTGAAGAAGAAAATGCAGCTGGTAAGTATTTGTCCAGCAAAGCCATCCTTGAAATACCGTGCACTTCAAATTTGATGTGCAACATATGCTTTTAAATTGCTATTCACTTCAGACCATGTTAGTGACACAAGAGGAAGATGCATTTAATGCTAGCTCGTTCCTCTCTGATGGCATTTAATGACTAACTGCAGAGTGGTCTCATCCCATAATAGGCTTCTATTTCAGACATCAAAACTACAATAAGTTTTCCCATAAACTGCATTTTCCACCTACAAAAATAAAATATCTCAAAGTTCAAGTAATGTTTTGGAGCCTGAGCTTTCCCAGGAACAATGATAATCCTAGCAACACAGCAGCCTGATTTTGTAGAGGCTGAAGAACAGAGATCCATAAATAACAGCATGGCAGTAATATACCAGTGATTCTCAAAGCCCTTTACAAAGGGGGCCAATGTCTCTGTCTTTGCTATACAGATGAGAAGAGCAAGATACAGACAGAGGTAATGACTTGAATTTGCAGGGTCAGATTGGACCTTGTGGCATCCAGAACTGAGGGAGGTTGCACCATGCAGAGGACCACAATGCAGAGACCCCTAAAGCAATATGGATTAAGTTTAGAAGCAGAACACCCATGGAAGTGCAGCTCTGCTCAGATAGCGTGTCACGAGAGACAGCAAAGTGTCCCACTGCCATGGCTGTGCTGACCTGATAGAATTGGTTTCTCTCAGAGCTGTGGGAGACTGAAAGACAACCCAATGAGCTCACTGTGATCTGCTACCATTGCCCAAAAGCCTGCAAGGTTTGCCCAGCAGAACAGAGGCCTCTCTGCTGGTTGGAACCTCTCAGCTCTAGCAAGACCACAAGTGCTCCTTTGCATACCATAGCTCCAGCATGCAGGCTCCTGTCTCAAGGAACTGTCCTTTTTGGAGGAGGGAAGAAGCTGGAGTTGCATCTGTCTGGGCTTTCTCTTTGTATAAGAGAGGAAGCCTCTCCCTTCCCCACACAGCATGCTTGTTCTGATCAGAAACAGCTCCCTGATGTTCCTTTCCCTCTGCCATAGAAATGGAAATTTTTCAAGACCTAAATATGCACACATAAAACAGAAGGCAGCCTGACACTGCTCCCCAGCCATGCAGCTGTCCCTTCCTCCTCCTCTTCTGCTGTTCATCACCAGTCCTTCAATACACCCTCCAAGATACAAATTTAAAACAAACCAAAACCCCTGTGGAGCAGCTAGGCAGCAGCAGAAACACACAGTCAGGCGGATCTAAATTATGTTAACAGCACATGCTTTGCCCTAGCAGAAGCAGAACCATCTCTTCTACACCTGCCCAGGGTGTACTTTCTCTCCACAAAATTGTTTGAAATCTTGATCACTAGGACCAAGGTTCAGCAGTACTTTGAACCTGGCAAAAGGATTGCGTTCATCACAACAAAGCCACTGAGCAAAACACCAGGCCACCGTTTCACAGATTAAATCCTGTTTCTAACTAAACTCAGTGATTTCCATCAATGCAGCAACGTGAAGAAGAGAAAAACAAGAGGAACAACAAAGCCAGCACTAATTCCATGATGCAAGATCTGGAGGATTTACTTGCGCCAAGTACAAAGAGTGAAAGCTCTCCCAAACAAGCAGAAGGTAAAAAGTAAACAACTCCCCCAGCTCCCCTGAAAAAATCCCTTTTGTCTTACAGTCGTGACTGGGAAGGACAGAGAAACTGGGACAATACAAATCTGTGTGAGAAACTGGGACAATACAAATCTGTGTGAGACCAGATGTGTATGACTAGAAGGTTTTGTCCCCTTATGGAAGTCCATTGGCCAGTGGACACTCAGGAAGAGCATACCTTTAGACTACATTATGTCAAACACAGGCTTATCAAGGAATGGGAATTGGAATCCAAAATTATGATTCAATTCCCAGCTATCAGTCATACCAGTCATGAAACTAACAATTAATTGAGAAACAATACTGAAGATATGGCATTGTTTCTAGATTGATGAATTGAACCAGAAATTTTTATTTATTTTTTTTTTTAATTGAGATGTTCACTGGAAAACTTGTTATGAATGAGGCAGAGGCATTTTTCAAGACTGCCTTGGTCTCAGGGCATAGAAAATGGCTGCTCCAAAAGTAATGCCTCCTATTTTTATTACATTGGCCCACAATCTTAGAAGTGGATGCTGGTGGTATGGTAGCAGAGGCTGAATCTTCCCACCAACATTCCATTACATTTTGTTGCTGTGCAACAGATGGCAGCAGAGGGGAAGCTGACAAAATGGCTTCTGACATAGAAGTGCATCTGAAACAAAGGTGTGTCATTGAATTCCTCCATGGGAAAAAGTAAAACTCACTGACATCCACTGAATAAACATTTATGGAGTTCAAACAGTGGATGTAAGCACAGTAAGGCAGTGGGTGGCGCATTTCAGCAGTGGAAACAGTGACAGTGAGTCACCTTTGCTGGTGCAGATTTTGACAAGTGTGCCATGCAGGCAGTGTGCCATGTTTTTCGGTGGTGAAAATACACAGCCAGTGGTGGAATCTTGAGAAATAGTGCATTGCAGATGAGAATTTGCTCAGTCAAATAGAATCATTGTGCTGTTTGTATCTGAAGCAATCTCCATGACGTCAAGTAGGAGGCATTACTTTGAGAGCAACCTAAATGCATGCTCTAGGTTCTGCTAGGGGATCCCTGTCTAGGCAGAAATGTGCAAGGGGTGGCACTGGCATCAGACAGATCCTTCAGACTCTGAACCATACCTTTCTTGAACACCAAAACCTTCTGCTCTCATTTGTAAAAAGCAGTGCAACAAATGCAAAAGATTTTATCTCAATGCAGATTAGAAAATCAAATTAGTTCCACCACAGCCCTCTTGCATTTAGATGGGTGGCTGTTTTCTGGAGAGGCCAAAACAAGCTGAAAATTTTGGCCAACCTGTTGCAGGTTCGATCAGGGAACAGACGCAGAGCATTCACTTAAATGGAAATAGTTTGCAGCATTGGGAGTGCATTGAAAAGAAAAAGACTGAAATCAGCAATTTTCCATAACCACGACAAGGCGCAGGTGAACTAGTGTGGCTTGTAGGTCTATTACCTATTTTAAATGTATTGGTAAGAACATGCAAGAAGGACTTGGACAGCAGAGACTTTTGCTGCATGTAGAAGCAGCAGCATCCAGTGGGGGAGAGGAAGAAAGGCAGTGCTTGCTTTCAGGAAAATAATATTTATAATCTTTACTCTAGACAAGAAAACAGATTCTCCCAGTCAAGCCAGCCCTGTTGGGAAACAAGAAAAAGCAGAAGCCCTGAACAGCAGCCCCATAACCGCTGGGAGAAGAGCAGCATTCATCCCACCACCACACGTACTGGTGACACGGCCGCTGACACCAGGCACTTGGGCACCGTACCCTCAGCCAAGACAGCCCTGGCCAGGAGGACGCCCAATGGGGCCATTCCCTGGAAGAGGGAGAGGACAGCCACGATACGTACACCCTGTCTGATAAACTCAGCAACGTTTCTCCTGGAAGTGTTACATAAGCTATAGTAGTTTTTGTAGGAAATGATTGTTGTTTGTTGCTCAATCGCTCGTGATTATCTGTATCTACCCAACAGTGATTCTGTCTAAAAAGCTTTGTTTAGAGGTTTAGAATTACTGCAACCCCTTGTGGCTGCCCTGATTTTGATCATAAAGGAGATGGGAGGTGTTGGGCTGATGCTCAGTCGTGGCATTGCTAGCCTGCTACATAGACGACGACCCTGTGGCCACCAATAGCCATATGGCCAGTACACTTGGTGGAGTGAGCATCTATCAGACTCCTCAAAGTCTCTTTCAGTTAATAAAAAGAAAATGATTTTACGTTCCAACAAGGATCTTTTGTTGTTCCCACCCGAGGAATTAAGTATTCTTAGAAAAGCAAAAAAAACCCTTTCCAGCTGCATGGCAGCCAGTACTGGGAATAGAGGACACTTAGTAGGCCAGCACAGAAGGACGTTGTCAGCAATATTTCATCCTTCTTGACAGCTTTCCTCCTGTCTGCATCCTCTAAAATTTCATCCTTTTTAGCCCTGCTGTGCATCTCTCCTCCACCTTCTCTGTCTTCTCTCTGTGCTCCTCTTTTCAGTCAGCTTACAATAGCTTGAACCATTATTTCAATCCCTCAACACAAGTTCTGATTTAGTAAGATCACCAGCACACTCAAGAGAATAAAATTACTCTGAATTGGTTTCTGACTGTAACCAGAAAACCTATGACTTCCTAGAGCAACACAGCAAGACTTTGTCTGATTGTCCTGTTTTACATCTTCAGTTTGTTCCAGTTGCCACAATCCCATTCCAGCCAGCATGGGTCTGAAGGAAGATGTTCACGTACTTGGCATTCTTCACAAAATTTATAAAAATAAACTCATTTTCTTAAGTAAAAAGAAATTCATAGATACTTCTAGGAAGATTTTCACTACAGCAAACAGATATTTTGAGTTAAAGGTGCCCACCTTAATTTTTTCTCACTAAATGCAATAAATCTTCTTGTGTGATGAGTTGAGTACAGGAAACTCAGCAACTTACTTCTCCTCTGTGCCCGACAGGAGGAGAAAGCAATTGATATTCAGTGCAGGAATGTCTGCATTGAAGTAACTGGGTAAAGAGATTGAATTCAGTTAGATAGAAAGCAGATTGGGAAAATTGTTCCCTTTTTCAGGTCCAAATCAGCAAAGGTATTTAGGTATCTCACTCGTCATAGAAATTAACAACTTAAACATTGTGCAGTGCACATTTGTAGAGAGAGGTCTAGCTCATTACTTGATGCCTGGGCTTATAAAAGAGAACAGAGCCCTAAGGGAGTACTTCCAGGAGATTCAAATGAGAATCAAATAGATGGAGGATTCAGCATCCCTATATTCTTCCCAGGCCATTTATCCCCACTTCCACTGCTTATACTTTTCCTTTTCTTCCCCCCTCAGTCTGACCAGCAGGTCCTTGCTCAGCCAAGCTGAAGATTTATGAAAAAGCCAGAGCAGAAGAGAACTACAGACATGTTTTGTAAACCTGGAAAACTGAGGTAGACTTAGATCAAGATTGAGTAACTATTCTAGGATCTGGATGCTCTCCGAATCAGACCCCCGAGTCTTGCAATAACACTGAGCATTACAAAGCACTTCATTGTCACTGGATCATGAATGCTCATTAGCTAAAAGTTTGTTTGTCTCTAATTATGATACATTAGGTTCATCCATTGATCAGTGTTGTGTGTAAGCTCAGAGTCCTCAGGAGACAAGTGCAATGGTGTCAGATAGACAACAGTATCTGCAGGCTGGTGACAACTTTCTCCTTGACTCCAGTACAAAATAGGGACCTCTTTTAAATTACAACAATTCAAAACGGTGTGAAAATGCCACCCTTTGGACATCCTATTGATTGACATGATTATTTGGCTCCAAGTTTTGAGCCTATTTACTAATTACATATAGCAAGATTAATCTTCACAAACTCATTGGAGCACTCAGTAGCATTTAGTTTCCCTATTTTTCTACTGGTAGGAAGGAACAGCAATAAGCATTTTACTGAGAATTCAGCATTGATTTTTCTCTCCTCCTCCCCTAGCATTCATCCCAAAATTCCCATGTTTTCCAGGCTCACTTCAAGGGCAAATGCAGAAAAACAACTCAGCGGTGCGTTAGTAGAAAGTTCCCTCTACATCTTGTGCAGTACAGAGCTTGCTTTCACGCGCTGCTAGAACTGTGCTCTGCATTGCAAATTTTACATATGTCTTGCTGCTGCTAGCTCCAAAAGGTTTTGGATCCGGCTGTATCCAAAAGGTTTTGGTAGAAAATAAGGAGATACCTAAACTTAATTATTTTCTTATTCTTCTCAATGAAGGCTTATTTTCAATTGGGCATCTCCCACGGATATCAGCACTTAGTTTGTGGGAGCAGACAGAGCAGGTAAAGATTGATCATCTGTTCGATATCGATGAGGAATGGGAATCCGTTAAAAAATAACTAAATTTAAAAAAAAAATAAAAAGAATTAAAATAACTTTTTTTTTTTAAATAGCAATTTTGCGAAACACGTGGCTAAGCTCAAACCTTGGAAGGGACATCAGCATTCGTACTTAGGGTCAAAAACGTTGTTGAGCTGTTTGTCATACAGTGCTCAACCGTGATGCGAGACAAAATGGTTTTTATATTTACAGTGAACCAGAAAAAGTAAACACTACTAAACAGGTTTGCCCAGAGCCAGCAAAGTGGTACAAATATCTCATGCGCATGCATAGAATACACTGGTTTTGCATTCAGTGACATAACTTTTAGGGCTTGACTTCTCCAAAGCAGATCTCCTCTGTGAGGAGGGACATTTCCTCTCTGGTCAAAAAGCGGCCCTTATGAAATGCTGGATCATTCCTGCAGTGAAAAGGGATCATCGAGTGATGTGGAATAAGTAAATAAATATGCCTGACAGAGAAGGACAAGAGCATACACCACCACAGACAAGATGTTAGAGATGCTGACGCAGTTTCTGCCACAGAAGCAACCATAAATCAAGCACTTCCGCTGCCTCCAAGGCAGGGCAGACAGGGACTCATGAAGCCCGGATTCACCAAATCTCCAACCCACATCTCTTCAGATTGGCTGTGTCCCACACAGGGAAAGAAAGGGAAGGAAGCTCACCAAAAGGCTGATGCCAGGCTTTAAAGAGCAATTATTCGGGCTTTGATTCATGCTGTATGCATTGTTATCAGCTCTCCAGCCTGACAGCTGCAGGGACTTTTTTCCTCTCCACTGCACTTTCCTTACCATTTGTCTAAGCCCCAAGGCAGCAGTCTGTGCAGGTGGCAGCCTGGTTTCATCCTTGGCCAAGACTTTATCACTCACAAATGCTCAAACATTGTTTTTTCCTAGGGAAAAGGCAGCTCCACAAACTGAGGATTTCTAGGTCCCAGCCCATGCCTCACACAATAAAGTCATAATTGCTGAATCTGAATTCAGCAGTGTGTTTAAATGAACCACATCAATGTGATGCTGCAGCAAGCTAATGCTGGAAGCTCTGGCTTTGCTGCAATTACTCATTTCCAATCACAGAATCCAATTCCCCTGCTCCCCTTCAATTCAACTATTTACAATCATGCTGAAACGATGGTGAATATCGTCTCTAAATCTTCTACTGGTATCACTTGGCATTACTTAAGGACACTCATCTCCTCTATGTGCTCAGATGTAGACCAATGTCTTTGCTGTGGGATGTGAAAATGAGCTTTGTCCCCCAGAGCCTTTGGTACAATTGCAATTACTTCATAATTTGGTCCTTCCATGAATGACCACACTTCCAGAAGGAACCTATGATTTCCCTAAGAAATGAGCAACAATCACTAGAATTTGGAAAACATATTTGTAGTAAAGAAAAAGGGAAAACACAGATCCACATAACATTTCTTCCACAGAAAAGTCCATCTGAGTGATTCTCCCACTCCTGGTTCCACTCCTTTTTTCCTGTAGCGACTTTCATATAAAATAAAATCCACCATAATGACATAGAACCATTACCTGGACAGTCTGGATGTGGGCAAACCACCACAGTGATTGAGTGCATGGATAAGGTGATTAATAGATGAAATATTAATAAAGCCAAGTAAGTAACCCATTGCATATCACTGGGGAACAGCAGCTGCAGTCATCCCAGCCTCTCTCCTTTCATTCCATCCAACAGAGCAAAGTTGTTTAGGGGAACCAAGGCTTCTGCAAAAAAGGCTGCAGAACCAAACCTTGCTCTCAATAGGAAGCATTTTACACATATGGGACATTTTATTCTGATCATTTAGATTTTTCTAGATAGCAGAAACAGTGAATAATCCAGTACCTAAGCACTAAGATGTTTAAGATCTTCAAAACATGAAGTTACTATCAGGTTAATTAAAATTAGGTGTCAGGAAGATCATCGAAAGTCAGGTAGAGAGGGGGAAAAAAACCCGCAGCATTGTTTCTTCAGTAAGAACTTTGCACTTTGGCACAGCAGCTTGTGCATCGCAGCCCCCTGCTCCACGGGCAGCAGCTGAAGTGGGCAGCCCAGGGGGCTTGCTTTGCACCCCAGCACCAACTTTGTGTCCCAGCAAAGAGAGCTGCTGCACTTTGGGAAGCCCAGCACTTCGTTGGGGAAAGCTGCAGAAGCATTTCTACCTTACACATGTAAAAATAAATAACTAATGGAGACCACAAGCAGCCGCAGCTCAGCAGGGTACCATTGCCCTCTGCTGATAGCAGCTGCTGGAAGACATCTCCCTAAAAGCTCCCGCTCAGCTCCTGCTTTTTCCACACACTACCTATGACTTCTGAAAAAGAGTAAGAGGTGGCAAGGAGGAACCATGCACAGGGGGTACGTGCATGCTTATAAATTATCCTGCTGGGCTTGGCAGAGGCTATGCAGGTATTGAGCATCAGTTGTCTGCATGAGCTCCTCCTTAGGTCGCAGGGGTTAAATAGAATATGAACAGGTCCATTCACTAAAGGCAA